AGCTCAAGCAAGTTGTCACGACCCATAGCGGCAGTGAATGGCAGTTCTGTACAGTTCTGGCTTCATCTAGTCAGCTCTTTGCGCAACTGAAGCGACTGAAATCTCGTCCGAACACCCTTTCCATGTTATTCACGTCATGGTTGTCTCGCCCAACCTCTACTATTCCCACCTTTGAGGAGCCTTGCTTCCTCAAAATCAGCGAATTTTCTCGACCCAACCTTCCCCTTCGCTTTTCTACTAAATAGGGATACCTCAAAAATCGTGAACTGCGAATTTAAGAGAAGTCTGAAGGAAGCGGCCATAACTGCAAATAAAAGAAAAAAAATAAAAAATCTCGTAGTGAACAAAAATAAATAATTTAGAAATTAATAAATGGCCAGCTCTTGATTATTTTTTCCCGGCAATGGTGGTTTGTAATTTGTTTCATCTGAAAATTTTGGTTCCTCCCCTCATTTTATATTGACTGTACATGTTCTGATTTGTGTTGCTGCACCTGGATTAGGCAGATAAATAAATAAATAAACAAATAAATGAAGGCAACCGCTCAGACCAATGGCCGTGTGGGATGTGTTGTATTATATCCTCAAAACAGGTGCAGTGATCAGACCAGCTTCCCACAGTGTGGCTCAGCCTCAGCTAGCTACGGCAGGTACAAGATCCATGGGCTTCGTGTTAGCGCAGTGTGTGGGGAGCTTCCATGGGTTGATAGATGGAAGAAGTATAGCAGTTTAATAGCCCTTTTTGATTTTTTTTGGAACCATTGACCAACATGATTCACTAATCAGCAACAACATCCGAATCATGTGAGAGAATGCATCAACAAAGCAAAACAATTTGTCAACAAACTAATGACAACGAGGGTAAATATACCGAGTTCGAGTACTGTAAAAACCAATTCGCGGCCAGACTCACTCATCAGCCACAACATACGAATTATCCTAAGCTGCCTAAAAGGGTTTGTGTAAACGTTGTTTAAACTTTCCCGAAAGGAGATTAAGCTGTTTACGTGGGTCACTTAGTTCGGCACAATGAATGATTCACTGAATACACGACTGAGTCTACTCAAAGTTAGTCACTCTTTTTCTCAACACTTCGTTTTTTTCCGGAAAATCTCGCCCTCGGCACATGACGACCCTCCAGAATTACTTTGCAAAATGTGGAGCTTTCTTTCTTGAAAGGAGTTTTTTTCTATTGGTATCGAGTGCATACGGTTGTTTCCCACCTCCGGCTTCCCGAGCAAATTGACTTAACTTCAACGATCCAGACCTGATACTAGTGTTAGTGTTACTAAGTGTTACTGTAAAGGGTTAGTTCCGCTCTCACTAAGGGTCTCATTCTCCTCAGCAGTAAAGCCCAAAAATCTTCTTTCCACGAACTGCACGATCTACTTCAGCTCACTGAGTCTCCTTTTGCCCTTTTCCTCCCCCGTCTAACAAAGTAGCATACTTGGTAATTAGCAATCATGGAGAAATGCAACTTCTAAGCTGTCGGTCATTATGACGTGCCTTCGATATTATGAAGATCCATCATAACCAAACTCTTATTCGCTAGTACTTGACCTCTCCCTTAGTTTCTGCAATTATGAACTTACGGAAAACTGGGAAGAGCAGTTTTTTCTTTTATCCTCCCGTCATCAAAAAAGCTTTTCGAGATCTACGAACCACATGCTCGGCGGTTTCGTTTGGGAAGACGGGGAAGACGAGACCGTAGTCATCGTTACGTTCAAGACAATTCGTTGTTACTAGTAAAATATGTAAATGCATACAAATGGAAATATATAGTTCGCTGTTAAGAATGATTCCAAAAACGTCACCTATTTATAGTAGTAATGTAATTCTGAAGGCACGCTGAAATAAGCATTACCAATGGTATAACTTCGTATTTCCTTGATTTAAACAATATATAATTACTCGTTCCTTTTTCACTTATCCCGAAACCACTGATGAGCCCCAGGGGAACGTGGAGACGGTGGTTCGTTTGGTGAGGAGGCAAAACGAGCCATCTTCAGTCTCTTTAGTTACTCTGTCTTTTGACGTGTGTGCTTTGTTTGTTTATTGTTGTTTTTATGCTCCACTGACTTTAATTTACTACACTTCACTAGCAGTGCTGGAACAACAAACATTGCTCATTGAAATTTATTCTTATGAATAAATATCTATGCTAAATTCAATAATTATATGATCGAAAATGATCCGTCAAAATCAAATCGCATTCTTAAAGAAAGCGTTATTGAAGTCAGTTAGAGGCTATTGGCCATAATGAATGCTACCCGACAGTAATGTTTGAGAGAATGAGAGGCAGAAGCGAAATCATATAAAAAAGAAAATCGCCCACAAAATGGCCCGTTTTCCCCTGCGAGAAAGTTAACAATACAATTACAGATACAAATGTACTATAGATGTATTTGTATGTTGAAGACATCTGTTGGAAAGTCCATCCGGCCAGAAAGTGGCCATCCGATTTTACAATGGGAACACGACTTTCAGATTTTTCCGTACCGCAATGTCGTTCAGTACCTGAAACGAAATAGTACTCGGTTATTTCGTCCGATTTATTTCAATTACCTATTCTATATATTACTTTTGAGTTTNTCAAGCCTATAAGTATAAATTTTAAATATATTTTTTATATTATGTTTTATACTATATTTTATATTTTTATTTATCATGAATTTTTTTATATATCGTGGATATTCATAAATCCAAATTTGAAGCTTTGCTGTCTTTCCGTGAAAAATTCAGATTGCTTCTTGGATTCCCTATTGGAAGTAAACAAAGAATCTTGTTTATGTTTACCTATACTCTTTATAACTTACTAGTTTTCAAAAAATTCCACTTTGTAGTGATTTCTCCTCGATGTTGCAAAGCTTTTTTCTCAATGATGTGTACGTACCTCATTGACTGTTCTCTTGCTGGTCTCAGGGCAGAACGCCCACATGATAAATAGGAAAATGGCCGTGGGAATGAGGAACATGAGAAGCGATTGAGCACCAATCTAAATAAAATTACTGTAGCGATATTTGTGGAGTAAATAGAAGGATAAGCTGGCTATTCATTTCGGGATGTGTCACGTATCCACCTCACACTTGAATTTGTGAAGGTAATTAGAGATTTTGATGGGAGTGACCATCAAATTGACGTTGTATATCTTTGGTGTGTACATTTCCGGTATTTCCGGTATTTCCAGTATTTCCGGTAGAAAGGTATCCAACCGGATCCTCAGCTTTGTATAGATCCAAGATTAACCGAAAGAATCGCCATGTTGATGACCTAATACTCAGGGACGTCATCGGACGGTGCAGGTACGGGACAGGTACTTAACCCTCTTCTGTACCTGCCCCGTCCCATGACGTCCAAAATTGTTAGAACAGGGCTAAGTACCTGACCTGCACCTGAACAGTCCCATGACGTCTTGCTAGACTGTTGGGCGAAGTAAGGACAGTGTAAAGTGATCTCTGCCCTATGTTCCAGGGACAGTCCAGGGGCAACAATACTAGGGTGGTCTGGTTCTGATTTGAAACCATGAGATCTGGTACTTACCACATTGGCGACTGGATACCAGACGAATTCTACAGCGATTTTTGTGAGCGCTTCGAACATTGTCAGAATTGAGACAGAAGAAATCAGAAGATTTCGAGGAACCAGTTCCGCAGCATAGAATCTGGAAACGGATCCGATGCCACAGGCAGTCGTTAGCAAAAGAGCCGACAGACCGACGAGGGTGGCAATCTGAAATGATACTTTCAGTGATATCTGAGGAATTTCTCCTTGTCAAGAAGACAGGTCTCTAGGAAGTCGATAAAGAATCCAACGAACCTTCCAGGTTTCTCCGAGATCAATTCCTAAAATCATCAGAGACAACGACAGTAATGAGACCGCCGTTGACGAGATTATCAACGGCCGACGTCCTAAGCGATCAACAAGAAACACGGGAATCAGTGTAAACGGAATTCTCAGCAAACCTGAAAGAGAAGTTTTTAGTTACAGTATACCCTTTTGGTAATCCGCCACGAAAAGGGAAACTCACTGATCACGAATGATCCGTAAAGTGCTCCATCGTAAGTCCAACGACCCAGATTGTAGAGGACAAATGTGCTGAACGCTCGAAGACACCTTGCTCCAGTGAACACGTACGCAATCTTAAAACATATTTGCAATAAATATCGAAATAGAAGGATAAAACCCATGTGTTGCATTGTATGGGGGAATACTTCGCTAATTTGGGACCCCCTAAAGCCGCTTGTATCGGGTTGTGTTCGAAAATTGTCTATCCTGGACTTGGGCATAGTAGAAGCTTGGACAGAAGGCGTGCTGTGGGAGACATAAAACTGGTTCTTTTCCCGTTTTTTACGACTCAACCGAAAGAACAGGTTTCAGAAAAATTGAGATTAAAAACTATTCGCAAATTTGGAAAATTCTCAACAAGCAACATCGCATCTTACACGCCCATCAACTTCAACCCACCCGAACGATACGTATTGAATCAGGGAAGAATACAGTGTCGAAGAGGTGAGCTGATTCCAAAGAATTAGAGGACTGATTGGCTAGACCTTTGCTGGACTAGACTGCTTACCTTGACCATCACACCAAGCCAAGCTGCCTGGCGGATCACTTGAGAAGTAGCGTCACGAGCTTTCCATGGCATGAAAATAACCGTAACCGAATCGTGCTCAGTCTGTATGGGACATTTGGCGTCCTAAAACGATTGAATAAAGTACTGTGGTAGGAATCTTCCAGTATTGACCGACATACTCACGAAAAAATGCATACCTTAGCTTTAGCCGCATCCTTTGTTTTATTGATACTTGCTTCACAGATTTTCAATTCAGATTCAAGTGATGCATCTTCAACCCCTACGCCATGGTAAGCTGCCAAAGCCTTACGAGCCTAAAAAGTTGCTGTTATGCTTTCGAACCCTCAATGGTCGGCACTTAATTTACCTTTTCACGGTTTTCTGATTTTTCCAGAATAAATTGAGGTGATTCGGGGACGACCAGGAATAGGGCCATTGATAGAAGGACGAAAGCAGCATTAGGTAAAAAGATGAACTGCCAGAGGTCATCGTTTGAAAATGGCACTCCAAATGCTTGGGTTATCAGCGAACCTGAAAAGAACTATTTTCGAAACCTATTCTCACGCTTCTGCTGCTTAATTACAAACGGAAGGTTAAAAAATTAAAAAAGTCATAGCAAAGTTGAGGTAAGCCGATTGAAGAAACCGGAGCTGATTGGCGCTCTCTTATCTTTCTCAGTAGTGAGCTTCCATTGCCCATGTGGCACTACAGTTTTGACTCCAGCCGGTTGAAATGACATTTGGGGCTTGTAAGTATGAATTAAACATTCATACTGGTATGGTTGAGCCACTCTCTCAAAAGCGGCTCCAAAAAGGAGTCATCAAGGAACACGATATGTGTCGGGGCAAAATCGAAAGATGTGGTCATCCTGTTCATTCCACGCATGAAATGGTTCCTAAGGGCACCTTCCCCCACCTCCCTCTCCCTCCCCAAGAAAAGCACTACACCTCCACCACCACTTGAGCAAAAGTTCTTCGACTATCCAGGACTTGCTGTCTGAAGGAAGATCTCTTTTCGTTGGTGTGAAACTTAAAGAAGATAAAGGGAAAAGAAAAAGAAGGAAAGCGGAAGGAAAAGGCGATCCGCCGCATTTTTTTTAGGAGCAACAGTGAAAGCATTGGTTAGCCAGTACAATAACCGGATTGGAGCCAGCTGTTACAATCATTTCTACTTTTTTTACCCTGACAAGTTTCTCAGACAGGTCTGCTATCAATCAACTGACTGCAGAAGGTAGGACTGGGCACCATACTTCAAATTCCTGAATGAGATTTAATGGTAACACCCAGATCGAGCTATGCACCATTTGCCCCCTAATCATCTGCATTCAATTTCAGTTTTTCTACTGATAAAGTACAACCCTTGCCCTCACCAATAGCCATGAAAAACTCTTGCATGGCAGCCATTCGCCCGCGGATCTTTGGTGGTGCACATTCAACAATCCAGACAGTTGCATTGACACTGTTGACACCATTTGCTAGCGACCTGAATATTTGAAATATTTTTAAAAAATCTACAAAAATTCAAAGAACTGTCGACGACAAGGCTGCTTACCAGAGTATACGGCCAAGGTATAGAAGTTCAAAGTATGGATGAAGATATTTGGAGGCGAAACATAGCAATACACCAGGAATATAAAGGGCACTGGAAAGCAGTGCTGTACCTTTCCTTCCGATTTTTTTGCATAAAAATGCTGCCAAAAATTGTCCAAATATAGTAGCTATAGGGAAGCAGACATTCAGTAGAGACAATAGGACGTTCTGAAATAGAACAATCCTCTAAAAGGGGTCTCCTTTTGGTGGGACCATCTAATTCAAACAAGACTTACTAGCATTTCGTGTTTAATTTCCGAATCATTTCGTTCCGTCCATGACTGGTTTATGAAGTTTTCGATTTGCAAATATGGCTGATTAAGAACTGAAGCGATATAGCCCTGTTGAAAGCCTGACGATAAGCATAGGGCCAGTGACAGGACGTGTATAGATATAGATGGCATCAGAGATACTGTAGCCTGAAATGATCCCAAATGGTTTTCTATGATAATTCATTTAGCTGCCGAGATTGTCAACGACGGCGGAAAACGGCTAGCATCAAATGAAAGTGTCGCGAATCAGAAAGAAAGACGAACTTGGACATTTCTCTGTGTCAAACTTGTTTTGTTTCAACGATGATAGCAAAAGGTCATTACAATGGGCAGAATGGTTTCTTGTCAGCCCGTTGGCGAACTTACAATCGGAGAAACGCAGCTCGTTCCGGGTGTAAACAGAACTGGCCGAGATGTACGGGATGGTCGACAGTCGCAGATGGTCGTAATGGGGGTGAGTAGGGTTGGACGAATTGCCTATGATTCACAATGTAGCTGACCATAACTCAGACCTTCCTGCCCGCCCGGTTCAGTCTCGGCAGTGCCTACTCTGAAGGTTGCCAGGCTAGGGAACGATTAGCGCCCTGTGCTACTGACATCATGAAAAGATGACGGATAAAGTCCTTCGGGGTTGATCAAATCCGTTCTGGGAT